CGTCTGTGTAATATGTTTTTAAACTTTTAGTTTAAACTTTTAACTTTTAAACTTATAGTTTAAAAATTATAAAAACTGAACATCCTACAGCATTTTTACAGTTTTCATTTTACAGTTAAAATAAATGTTTATCAAATAAAGTCTAATGTTACAACTAATCATGGATCCCTTTAAGATTTTATCGATACTACTTTTCTTACCAATATTTAATATTGATCTGGTATTTTACTAGCCTTCTAATCTATGCTTTTCTATAGGAGTAAAACTAAAACCATATTTTAGAACAATATAGATCATACAATAAAGCAATTTATTTATTTTTTTTGCACATGCAATTTTAGTTTAACCTTGAGCCATGCTGTTTGTCTTGTAACTCCACACAGCTTCAACTACAGAACAGAAGTCCAGTTGCTTCGTCTTTTTTCTTTTAATTTTCCGTATCCTGCATGACTGATTATTCACGGAAATATATGATCGTAACATTGAGCGGTCCCGGGCCATAGCAATGCTAAAGTTATTCAATCAATACTTTAGTTTAAACACGATGCTTCGTTACAAAAATGAAATGCTTCGCCAGAGCAGCCGGTAAACAAGCATGTCAGACAATTGTTCAATCWGCTCTGATKGCACAACAACRTCCCAATCGACATRCTAACTTGTRGCATYCATATTTACTTCTGTAAACACCATTCTGAACGTGTATTCACGTCATTTTCCACACGTGGGTCGCGCCAATGCTGGAATCCTGTGTTGTTAGCAGCCCCTCCCCTTTGCTGAGTCTGTCTGCATAGCAGAGGCAGACTGTGAGAGGCAAGAGAGAAAAAGAGATTTTTTTTCCTGAACATCGCAGCATGCACCGTGTCCACCCTTGTCATGCCACTATACTGTTAACAAAACCTTTGAGGCTGGAGCTTATCAATCAGGTCACAATTAATTAATTACCTGGAACTGGTGCTAAWAAACTACYGGGTTTTGGTACCATCCCTACTGCTTAGAGTGGTGTCAGAATTTAATTTTACTCAGACCACATCCACCGCCTTATCAACAGGAACACACGTAAAGAGTGATGTGATTAATTAAATCTATTTTTTAGCATTAGCAACTAGCTTCTTTTCTTGAACAAATCTAAATTCATGAAAATATTAAGCTTTTAATAAGTTTGTCAGGTGCCTGAGTCAGAAAATGTCTAATTCTTGCCCTGTTTAAAACTCGGACATTGTTATGTTTAACATTTAATCAGTTTGAGCAAGTAATAAAAGGGCACTCTTCATGAATCCTCTGGTTGAAAATCTTCCTTCTTCTTAATGGATAGACCGTTTAAAAGGATCAAAGAGAAATTGTAGCAAATTAAAAGACTAAGAAGTCCGTAATAGCCTATTACTTTTTCAATATACAGAAATTAACTTTGGCTAATTAGAAATTTGATACGTTTACTGAAGTTTTAGAGTTAATGTAATTATCTTAATTAGTTCTGTCTAAAGCAAAATTAAGGGTGTGGTCCTTTTACTGGTCTAAACCTATTAGAACATTAATTAAAATTTGTCTGCTGATAAGGCACCTAATTTTTTTATGTTTTTATATATAGATGACAAAGTTATGCTAACTGCGACTCAGTCTTTACTTTTAATTTAAAAAAATAATTTAAAGTTTGAGTGCAGATCTCAGCCCATTGATTGACAAAATGACAAAATTGTAGATATACGCTGTAGTAAAAAGAGCTAAGAAATTGTTCGTCTGTATTTAAAGAACAGGCCCAGAGTCTGTTGCTGCTGTAGGAGCAGCTGCTGCAGTGCACTTCTTCTCTCATTAGTGGTAGTGTGGGTGCCAGGCTACACTACTCCTGGCTCAGCTTTCCGCTGTGGTGCAAATCTCTCCATGTGTGAAACAAGCCTCCACCGTGTCAGTAACAATTTTTACCGTTGTCCTTTATTTTTYTACAGACATTTCCTCTGACATTTAACTTAGCAGAACCATGCGTTACAGCACACTAAGCTGAATCCAKTTCTGACATCCTACATTTCTTTTCTCTCCTTCAGCCGACCAGTTGAGTTGAAAAGTTTCCTAAAAGGTTTTAATGACTGGTTTTGACATCTGCGAGCTGGATCCACAGGAATAAAACAATCTAGATTCTTATATTCCACATGCAGACACATTTYCCCCAATCCTAGGGCTTAAATTGAAAAAAATCCAACATGGTGTTTCCTTCCAGTAGATCCAGTGCATGTGTTTTATTTTTTTAAAGAGATGTCTGGTTATTTTTCTGTTGAAGAGAATAATCTGA